AACAGTTTACAAACATTAAGTTAGTGTTTGTACAAACAGGTGGCTGGGTATGGACACTTGGTGAAGATGTTCTCTACATAATTTACTCTGATCAAGAACAGATCTGAAATCAAGGATTTGAGAGATTCAATTGCTGGTTTCATGCACAATCCCACTCCTATTCCTCTACCCAGTCATCAGGCTCCACTTCCTTTCTGAGGTCACAAAACAGCAGGTGACTTACCTAAGTAAAAAAACGCTCTTTGTATTCACAGAGCCTGTAGAGGTGGCTTGAGGGCAACTGACTCAAGTGAGAACTGATGAACTGTCCTGAATTCAGTGATATCATAAATTTGACAACTATAAGACTTCTGTGCAGAATTAAGATTTCAAAAGGGTTTGCCACTGTACAGAAGTGTTCAAATACAGAAGCATATGGGGTAGTTTTATTYCACATAAACTCTAAATTTTGGAATGCCTGAAGAAAGGGGATCTTGGGCCCTCATCTTACACAAYATAAGGCACTATCACTTCTGTACCATATGGAGAAAACTTCAGTTCACATAAATCAGTGCTAATCTGTGACATGTGAATATTCCTTACCCTACACTTTAAGGTTATCATATGGGGAGTCATACTTCCAGGCACCTGGAGACTGTTTAAGTGAAAGCCATATATAATATTTAACTCCCTGACATGTGCTATTAAACATGCTWCATGATATTCAAAAACAACGAGACAAGGAAACCATTCATCCTAACATCTCTGCCTCTTCCTGCTTCATCTTGCAGATATATACATATCTCAGATACAGCTTATTTTATATGGTCCTGAATAACAAAACCTAGAGCTCTGATGCAGCTGTTGGAGAAGTATGGCAAAGCTGCAGCATGATCCCAACCAGCACTGGCTTCTATCAGAATCACTTTCTCCAAAAATGTCTCACATGACATCTCATTGTCATAAATACTTCACTCTCTCTTGAAAATCTCTATTGCAGTTGCCAATAAGGATTTAAATGCTGCTGGAAGAAAGAGTCATCAAAAGTGACACAACTTTGAATGACTGACACCAAGTGACAGGGAAAGAAATCACAGCCATGTTTCTGTGCATTACTCACCAAATGTTGCTTTTCATTAGATGGGTGTGCCCAGCGCTGGGCGTGTTGGCAGATGCATACCAGCACTGTCTGGCATGCCTACGGGTGCTATTATACACTGATGAGCGATGAAACACAATTTCCTTGAAGGGACTCTTTATAGTTTGGTACTATAGTTATAATCACTAAATTTTCTGCTTTCTAGTTTGATTTTTAGTATTTCTAAATAGCAGGCATCTCTCTTTTTAACCAGAAATATGTGACAGATGTACTTGGAACATTTATTTAAACAAACAAACAAATAAATAAACAAACAAAAAAATCCGAAAATGTCCAGACATCTTACTGAATCAGACGCCCTGGGGTGGAACTTGCATGTGAATTTTGAAAAACTCACTGATTATGAAATACTTTCCTAGTTAAGAACAACCATTCTAGATTATTTTTATAGACAAATAACTATGTCACATACATGTGCCTACACAGTCTGACATAATTCTACTTTGTCCCTTGTGGTATTTTTCTAAATAYTCTGCTTTGCAATCCAATTCTTTACTCTGAATTTGTTTGTTTGTTTGTTTGCTCTGGTATTTGTTTTTGAGACAGAGTCTTGCCGTTACCCAGGTTGGTCTTGAACTCATGTATTCAAGTGATCCTCTCACCTCAGCTTCCTGAATCACCAGGACTATACAGCACCACACCCAGCTCTTTCCTTTGAATTCCTTCTTTTAAATTGCCAAAGAGCTTTTCAGAGTCAGGAAATTGGCCTATAAAAATTTTATGCTAAGTCAGTGTATTGGCACTCTTCAGTGTTGAGACCAAGTGGCAACTGAGATCAGCAACTCCCTCCAGAACAATTCCATTTTAACATTCAGTCATTTAATAAATATGTATTCAGTAGAGTGTGGGTGTGATGGTAAAGGTGAAGAAAAAAGGAGGAGGATCGAGGCATGGCCATCGTGCTCTTCAGTGAACACTTATGGATAAAACTGGTAGCAATGATAGCCAGGTAAGAACAGTTAAGTAATCACAAAATTGCATATGATTCAATATTAAAGCATTACTTGCAATAAGTGCTCACAGGAGTCAGGAGAACTATTACTCTAGACCCAGCAGTCAGGCCACCCTTCAGAAAGGGCCTGACAATTGAGAAATGAGTAGGGGATAAATGCGTGGGGCAGAGGAAGTGGGTGCTCTAGGCTAGGAACACTGAAAACTGAGGCAGGAGTGAACGCACCACGGATAGTGAAAACACAGCCTTATGGAAGAAGAGGTCACGGCAGTGATTAACATCAAACATACAAATGCCAGAATCTGATTATCAGCTAAGGAACTTAATATTTATCCTAGAGTTATAAGATAATCATCAAGGTTTTAATACAGCAGAACATGGGGATAGTAGTATTTTAGGACACTATGGGTGGAGGGTAACAAACAAATGCCTATGAGTCTGAGGGATAATAAGGAAACCTATGGGAGCTATCAGGATCTGTGCTATAGTGGTGGATTTACAAAGAATTAATGGAACCCGGTGGCACGTTGATTTCGGTTTCCAGCCTGTTTGTTATGAAACACAGGCATACAGAAAATGCAAGAAGAATAGAAATATATCAGAGTTGCAGAATGATACCTTAGAAGAAACATCTTCCCTAAACACGCGGCTCTGGAAGAAGATGGTTAAAGTAAATAATTTCTACACAGAGAATAGAAGGTAGAGTAAGAAACACAAGAGAGGCTGAATCTAGAGAAGCAGCACATCAAACACCACAGGAGAAAAACAGACTGATTCAAACAAGAGTCCTTGGAAAGAGAAGAATCTACTGGCAACCCAGAAGCCAAAGAAAAAGAGAAAAAAGAAGAGCTCATCAATACCATCTCATGCAACACAGCAATCAAAGGCCACTGGCGTTGACCAAGTAATCCCAGCAACCCCCACGTCTCCAAACCATAGTCCTTTTTTTTTAATCTTCATTATTGAATGTTGATACCAATCGCTTAACACACATATAAAATCATTGTTAATTTTTAATTTCTTTTTAGTTGTAGATGGACATAATSTCTTTATTTATTTTTTATGTGGTGTGTAGGATTGAACCCAGTGCCTCACACATGTGAGGCAGGTGCTCTACCACTGAGCTATTGCCCTGGTCCCATATATAATTATTTTTAAATAKCTATCATCAACTCATAAGATTTTGGTCTTATCTTTTTGACACAGAGATAATAAACTTCTTGGGGGAAGAGATCACAGTGTGCACTTTATATACTGCCTCCTCCCTACCATTGGGCCTCCACATTACCATGCCTCTAGCAATCATTTTGAAATATTTTTAATTGAATGTGACTATGACTGTCCTTTTTATTGGGATACATTGGTCAGGAACAGTTATAGTCAAGGAAGAGACACAGACATGAGACCAGTGTTGGCCTTTGCTACTCAAATGTGGTCCACTGGACCAGCATCATCAGCATCAACTGCAAATTGGTTATAAATTCAGAATCTCAGCTGCCATTCCAGACCAAGTAAATCAGAATCTAACAAGATCCCCAGATGACTGATGCCTATGTACACTCATATTTGGAAAAAAAAAAAAAAACTGCTATAAAGACAGCATAGAAGGGGTAGGACTAAGTTACTGAAGAAGTTAGTTGGAGGACGAGAAGAGGGCCCATGATTTTGAGCATGTAGGTATATACCAAGGCCTAACTTCACTGCTCCTCAGACCCATGGCTCAATGAGGGAGCCCAGGCCTTTGACATACACAGCAGGACCWGGTCAGGAAGCAAATCCAGCTTTTGATCACGAGCCCAGATGMATAAATCCTTCCATAAATTACTGCTCAGTTTAATTATAGGAAGGGTTTTGCAGATTGTATCAGCTTGGTTGTTTTTCTATATTTTATAAATATTCTGACCTCTAAACATCCTATTTAGGATCTACGTATTTACCCAGGCTTAGGAATTCTGATTCTCATTAATTCTCCTATAATGTTAAGTTTCCCTCTAAATCTTAGATTGCAGTTGCTAAAATACTTTTTTTATGCTCTCAACCTAAAAATGCAACTCTCACCCCAAATGGAAAGGGTCTAAAATTAAGATTCTTATACTGACAGCTCTATTGTTAARTGAACAGGTATCAGGAAAAAGCTCCCTGAAGAAAGAATTGTTGGACAAAGGAATAGCCGTATTCTAAAAGGTGAAGACCMAATGGGGTACTGGCTTCCAAGGCAGTTTCCCATTATTGGGGATGTGCTCGATGCTTCAGTATTTCTTCCTCTGATTTTTCCTAAGTATACTGAATATCACCATTTGAAGATATCAGTATGCTAGAAGAGTTCTATGTGGTCTTATTATTTCTAACAGCTCTACTGACACATAATTTATACACCATGAAGTTCACATTTCGGAAATGGATGAGATTCTCATTCCGTCCCCTACCTTCGAGCCATGCTTCATTAAACTCACCCAGGAACAGAACATAGCCATTTCTTAAATCTTCAGCAATGTAGGACATTGTTATAACCCTCTGATAATATATTCTAATATCTCAGTTTTTATCAGTGGAAACATGTCTTGACCAAATCCCTTCTTTAAAATTCAAACTCTCAGCTTCCATAAAAGTAATGACTTGTAATACAATATTTTAAAGATGTCTGGTTTAAAATACCATGGTAGGCCCTTGCAATCTAAATTATTTTGCAGGAATTCCATTAGGAAGTGAACTTATTTACTGTGTTCCAAGCAGAAATCTCAAATCTTACAAGCAAGTGTCCCCCATTTTTCCTGAATTACTTTCCACCAGATGACATGCTTTCTAAGGGCTGYTGGATCCTGCATGTATCTGTTATTCTTCACCTGTGGGATAGCATGAAGACAGAGGCAGGTTTCTCTTTCAAGAAAAAAAAAAAAAAAAGCTACTTACATGCTCTCACAGAATCTCGTCAGGGTGCTGGGCTTCTCCTGATTGCGCCGCTGTCGAAACCAGCGCTGAATGCTTCGCACATCCCAGTCCAGTTGCTTGGAGAGGCCCTCCAGTCTCTTCTCATCAGGATGCTATAAAACAAGTAGCCAGAAAAATTATTTTCAATACACTTTCACTTTCACCTTAAAACAGATCTGACCTTGTGCATGTTTGGTTTTTGATTGTTTCCCTGTTTATACCTGCTACTGAGATTTCTGTATTTACCACTGAGCATCTAGGCCTTCCATTAGYAGAATGAACAGAAATAACCACAAGGTTACTCATTATGAAATAAGATGGGAAAATATGAATCTTGTTCTGATGCTTGCACTTCTCCTTATCAGCAATGCTCTTTGTCTTTTTTTTTTTTAGAGAGAGTAAGAGAGGAGAGAGAGAGAGAGAGAGTTTTTAATATTTATTTTTTAGTTCTCGGCGGACACAACATCTTTGGTATGTGGTGCTGAGGATCGAACCCGGGCCGCACGCATGCCAGGCGAGCGCGCTACCGCTGAGCCACATCTCCAGCYCAGCAATGCTCTTTGTTAGAGGCAACTCAGACTGGATGAACACCCAACCGGCTGAGTCCGCTCCATCAGCCTTCAAGGAAATGGAGTCCAGTGCAGAACTTGCCAAGAGGCACCATTTGAATATTTCACTTTCTTGGGGACTGGGGGGAAAGCTGTGCATACCTATTGCATATCTGGATAATGGAGGACAAACAAAAAGCACGGAAAAAAAATCCCAAAATGCCTACTGTCCCATTTCTACTATGAAACATGTTCTCCCTCCCCACTCCTTCCCCATTCTTCACACATTCCTCTTCTACTCATTTTCTTGGTCATTCCTTTTGACCACAAATCCCACATCAAGTCTTTTTCTAATACTATGYATTACCTGAGGAAGTAAAGTAGGTRGAGAGGACAGAACTGGCCCTGAAATGACAGGTATATAGGTTCAATTCCTCAACTCCATTCACTTCTCTGAGCTTCTGTTTACTCATCTATAGAAGTAAAGGTTGAGGACAGGGGCTATAGCTCAGTAGTAGAATACTTGCCTAGCATGCACAAGTCCCTGGATTCAATCCCCAGCACTGTTAATAATAATAATAATAATAATAATAATAATAATAACAACAACAACAATAACTTATCAACCTAAATGTGATTATGGTAAGAACTAAATGTGAAAATGTTTGTAAAATTAGTTTTTTTCTTTTTTCTCATCTCTCTTCAATGTTAGAGAGCAGTCTGCCAAAAATCTTTGAGTGTGCCCTGCTATTCAACAAAAGCAGGCCAAGTGAGTTCTATTTCTCTATTCTATTTTTGCTTTGATATTCATGGTCAGAGAAAATAATCAAAAGGGGAGGAGGAGCCAGGTGTAGTGGAGGACGCCTGTAATCCCAGCAGCTTGGAAGGCTGAGACAGGAGAATCGTAAGTTCAAAACCAGCCTCAGCAATGGAGAGGTGCTAAACAACTCAGTGAGACCTTGTCTCTAAATAAAATACAAAATACGGCTGGAGAGGTGGCTCAGTGGCTGAGTGCCCCTGAGTTTATTCCCCAGTACCAAAAAAAAAAAAAAGGGCAAGGGGAGGCAGGGAGGCAGGATGGCCACCCCTCAAGTTTTATGTGTCTAATATACACATAAAACCTTTTTTTCTCTTATGGTTGGCATTTTTAAAATTTTTTACTTATTTTTATTTATATATGAAAGCAGAATGCATTACAATTCTTATTACATATATAGAGCACAATTTTTCATATCTCTGGTTGTATACATAGTATATTCATACCAATTTGTGTCTTTATACATGTACTTTGGATAGTAATGATCATCACATTCCACCTCTGCTCCATCTAGAGTTGGTCTATTCCTCCCATGCTTCTGCTCCCTATCCCACTATGAATCAGCCTCCTTATGTTAAAGAAAACATTCAGCATTTCGTTTTTTGGGATTGGCTAACTTCACTTAGCATTATCTTCTCTATCTCCATCCATTTACCTGCAAATACCATGATTCTATTCTCTTTTATTGCTGAGTAATATTCCATTGTGTATATATATGCCACATTTTTTTTATCCATTCACCTATTGAAGTGCATCTAGATTGGCTTCATAGTTTAGCTATTGTGAATTGTGCTGCTATAAACATTGATGTGGCTGTGTTCCTGTAGCACGGTGTTAAAATCATATGATCATCTCAATAGATACAGAAAAAGCATTTGACAAAATACAGCACTCCTTTATGTTCAAAACACATAACATCTTTCTAAAAGCATCTCAAGCAACTCAAGGGGTTTGTTTACCCCCAAAAGTTAACCTATTGAAACCCTAATCTCCAACGTGATGGTATTAAGAAGTGGAGCCTTTGAACGATTAGTACACTTAAAAGAAAAGACACCAGAGTGCTTACCCACGTGCATGTGCTCTCTCTCTCTCTGTCCCTCCCTTGCCCTCCTCCCCTGGCCTCCCAACTCTTGCTATATGAGGAAGTGGGCTTTCATCAAGAACTGGACCATGCGGGCACCCAGAGCTTAGAACTCCACTCTTCAGAGCTGTGAAGAATAAATAAATGTTGCTTAAGCCATCTAGTCTGTGGTATTCTGTTGTGGCCTCATGAGCTGATTAAAGTAGTCAAGACACCCAGAAAACACACCTAGTGGACTCAGGGTACAAAATCTGCTGACCTGTGCCTATAAATGTTACTCGCCAACTTTCCACTGGCATGTGCCTGAGCCCTTTCTCATAGTAATGACACTACCCACATTCTCATGTCTCCCCTAATAAAAAATATTGAAGGGAAAAGAAAAACAAAAACAAAAATGCCTACAACACATCTTGGCTATAACATTTCCCTAAATAAACTAWTTTTTAATTTCAATTTATTTTCTAATTTATTAATAGAAACAATATTCCTATGCCTCACAAATTTTAAATTGTCCAAAGTTTTACCTTTGTTCCTGTTCTTTAAATCTCTCCTTTCCCTTCTTTAAAAGASAACCATAGTTATTAAATCAGTTTCTTTCCAGTTATTTTACATAAGTAAAAGCAAAATTGAATGTGCCTGATCACACAAATGGTCACACTGTGGACTTTGTTCTAGACTTCGTGTTTTCCACTTTACAAATATTTCCATATCAGTGTACAGAAATGCTCTTATTCTTTTGTAGAATGGTAGAGATGTACTATAATTTACTTACCCATTCTGCTGTGAACACACATTTAAGTAGCATCCAAACTTCTGCTACAAACAATGCTAAGGTTAATAAGCTTGCCATGAGTCATTTTGTACAGGTTTATCTGTGGGATCTCTTCCTCAAAGTGAAAGTTGTTGATCAAATGCATCTGTGTTTTGGTATCTTATTTCCCTATTAAGAAAGTACTCTCACTGGAGATTTTATCAACTTATACTCTCACAAGCAGGAGTATCCATTTCCTAAGTCTCTTTAAGAGAACAAGATGTCAAGCTTCTTTATTTTTTCAGCCTGATATATTAAAAATAGTATCTTGGTATACCTTTGATTTTCCCCCCTTTATGAGATAAGCATCTTTACATACATTTTAAAAATCATCTGCATTTCACTTTTTCCTAAAGAGTATGGTCATGTCTTATTGCTTAATTTTTTTTTAATCTGTTGGGATTTTCTTCATTGATTTGTAGGATTTCTTCATTTATTAGGGTGGTTACACTCTTTTCTGTACTGTAAGTTGCATGTTTTATTTTTTTTAACCATTATGTCATCTGTGTTTTAAAATTTGCTGATGTGCTGTTTGCTTGTTTTTTATTTGTAGATGGTTGCTAAATGCAATAGTTTCTAAATTCCAAATGTTATTAAAACTCTCCCAYGTTTTCATCTAATACACTCAAGGTTTTGATGCATTGGCATTTTTACTGCATTTAGAAGATATGCTGCCATTCAGTGTGAGTTATAAATCTAACTTTCTTTCTTTCCAAATGGCCACCCTAAATCCCAATATCATCACTCCTCTTTTCCCCACAGAATAACCAATCTACTCCTTCACTGTCTATGTGCCAGTCATATGCAGTCAGTTTTCTCAGAAGTCTTTGTTTATTTTTCTGTGTGAGTTTTAGAATTAACTTGTCTATTTTCAAAATGAACAAGTGGTTAAACAAACAAACTTGTTTGTATTTTAAATAAGATCATACCAATTTCTTAAATTAACATAGGGTGAAATAACATTATCATTCAATTTGTTTTTTGTGTCCATCAAGAATGTTTGAAAACTTTCCTCATACAAGTCTTACACATACTTTGTTCTTTATTCCTGTGGATTTTTTTTTTTTTGCTTGTTTCTATTGTAAATAAGTTGCTTTCTTATAACCTTTTAACTGTTTCTTGTTTGCATGTATATGAGAGCTACTGGATTTTGGTTACTGATTTTGTATTAAAATTTCATATTTTTTGTGATACTTTTGCAATGGATACAATCACATAATAGTCCATTACTGGAATATAAGATCCATATTCAATGAAACATTTCAGTATCTTTTTTCATCAAGACCTAGTTTATAGTGGAMCTCAATGGATACATCTTCAAATAGCAATAGTTTCGCCTCCTTTTTCCTATTTTCAGGAACATTTTTCTTTCTCTTACCTATGTGCTAGTTCAATGTAAAATGTGGCACAACACAGAACAATAGTTATAAGAGGCACTCCTATCTGTTCTGGACTTTAGTGGAAATACCTTTAGTTTTCTGYTAAGCAAGAGGCCAGAATGGGGACTGAGATACAAATATATTTGTATGTAAAGCACCTGTCCCTAGTCACATAATTTTATTTTAATCAAAAAGATGTTAGGACTCAGTAATCATGCAGCATCATGTATTTTGTTTTTTCTCCTCAGATGTTTGTTTGTTTACTGTGCTGGGGACCAAACCCAGGACAAGCACTATAACAATTTACCTGCAATCCAGCCCACCTTAGATGCACTAATATGGTGAATTACATAGGTTATTTTTAAAATATCCAATACAGGGAAGGCCTTGCAATCCTAGAATAAACTCTATTTGGTGATGGCAAATAATTCTTTTAATGTGATACCATCATTCAGCTTTCCTCACTGAAAACTAGAT